AAGTACTGGAGAGACCAAGGAGCTCCTTTAGATAAGCTGCTGGTTGGTTTTCCCACATATGGGCGCACATTTCGCTTATCAACAGCAGCTACTGGTGTTGGAGCACCTGCCAGCGGGCCTGGCTCTGCTGGGCCCTACACCAAAGAAGCAGGAATTATGTCTTACTATGAGGTAATAATTCTTATTTTGCATAGGTAACCAAATTACTAATTTAAGCTAAGAAAAAATTAATACTGAAAACCAAAACAACACATCGGATAGTGCCTAAATCTCAGAGTATTGGTTTATAACTACAGGTTTGCGCTTTCCTTAATGGAGCCACCACACACTGGATTGAAGAGCAAAAGGTACCCTATGCAGTCAAAGGCAATGAGTGGGTGGGATTTGACAACAAACAGAGCTTTGAAATCAAGGTAATGTATGAAATCCAAAAACAAATAACAGCTATAATATAAATTTGTCCTTTACAGTGTTTGAGTTTGCCTTTTGAATTAAAACATTATGTACATTTGATATTGATACAGATATTAAACACACGTACGTTTTAGTTATTAAAATTGTCCAGAGGATGGCACTATAGTTACAATATTTCAGATATAACCCCTGACCTGATATGTTTTACCACCTACTGAATAGGTTAGTGATTAAGGTTTTACCCAGAAAAGGTGGATGCAACCTAGGGATCCAGAGACTCAAGTGGCTCCTTGGACTTTACACGATGGCTCTTGATAGCATTTACTAAAAATGAAAAGAAGTCAACAAATAGTTTTAAATGAAAAGTAGATATAACAAATTCAGGTTCTGACAAACTTTTCTCTTAGAGTGATTTCATAAAATTTCCAGCCGGCTGACAGTAAAAATACCTGGAATATCTTTAAGATCTATTTTATGTTTTTCACCTGGCTTAGAAACATTTTGCTTTACTAATAGATAATAGTAAAAAAGGAAATACTCTTACATTTTATTTTATTTTTATTTTTTTTTACCTTATAGTGGAAATAGGATTAACAAAGATGATCTTTAAAGATGTAGATGTCTTTAAATAAACAGGTGTTTCCATTTTTTTTTTAAAGTTTTTATTTGGCTGAACTGAATGGGGAAAATGACTCTTTGGGTTGTGAAGGTTGTTGATCTAGAATAACAATCAGGCCAATCAATCAAGTTTTTCAGAACTCATCAGCCAAACTTTGCAAATACTCTTAACCACTTATGTTTTCTACAATGGTTCACAGCAGATCTTTAGAATTCAGTTTATAGTGCGTGTATTCACCTCCAGGGCACATAATGGCCATTCATCTGAAATTTGTTATTTTTCAATGCCTTTTTAACCACGCAATGCATCTTGCATTCTTTAATCCTTTCAGCCCTACTTAGCCTTTCAGTCTATGGCTGGTAAACCACTTTTGAACCAATTTGCTCTCTATGTCATTTGCTAAATGTGCTTCTTTATATCTATTTTTAGGCTGTGTACAAATTAATTGTGATTTATATTGTACAGAATTCTGTATTATAAATAGACTATACTTACTACCGATACATGTATTAGTGGTTTCTCATCTTTATGCAGATGAGTAACCAGCTTCTATTTCTTGCCTTCGTCTCTTGACCTAAACAACACTGTGACAAGTGATTTTTTTGTCCTGGTGTGTTTCATTTTGATTGTAATTTTGAAAAAAAAAATTATAATCTGTATTTTTAATGGCAACTTTTATATTTTCTAGGCACAATATGTCAAAGATAACAAATATGGGGGAGCATTTGTCTGGTCTCTGGCTCTTGATGATTTTGCTGGACAGAGCTGTGGTCAGGGACCCTATCCCCTCATTGGTTATCTCCGCTCTCTTTTGGACTCGGGTAAACAATATTAGTCAATGTTATTCCCCATAAGGACATAAAATATCCTTTCTTTTACTTTAAAGATGCTTTATTCTCTGTTTTTAGATAACCAAACAAATGCATGGGTAACAACAACACCAAATGTTACCCAAATCCTCCCTTCAACAGCTGCCGGGACGGCCCCTACCACAGCTACCACAAGTGTTGTTTCGGGGAACAATTTCTGTGTTGGAAAGATTGATGGGATTTACACAAATGATGATGACAAAAACACCTTCTATCAGTGTGTCAATGGAAAAACATATACGCAGAGATGCCCTTCTAATCTGGTTTACAGTGAGAAATGCTTATGCTGTGACTGGCCCTAAATATATCATATATCAACGACGCTGTAATGTCAGTTTGTTTTATGAAGACAACGGGATTTTTCCCCTTAAAATAAAATACTTTGATGTGCATGTGATTTGGCCCATTTTTTTGTGAATTTAATGTTGGATTGAAGACCTGCTTATCACTAGCTTTGGTGTTGTAAGTGTAGCTTTATTTACAAATAAAAGCAGTTAGTGTATTTTTTTCAGATCAGAAAAGACCCAGGATGTATCAGCTGCATTTTCACTGTTATTAAATTATTTGGACAATCTGTAGATATACTTAGAAATGTTTTTAAAGAACAAAGATTTTCTTGATCAAACAGAGTCAGTTATGGAGGTTTGGGCAGTTCATAAAGAAACCTTATCAAGGCTAATGTGTTGATCTCTTTTAAAAGATGGATGGGAACTACAATAGAAATCTTCAACAAGTCACTGGAGCAATGTAACATGCTCTCCTATAAAAGCTCCACCTTCACACATTAAATGACTACAGACCATTAACCTTCGTAGTCCTGACTGAATGTAACATTTCTTAATTTTGTGGCCCCTTTCCTTGAGATGAAGGTGGATTCCTGAATCCAAACAGTGCCATATACTTAGCTTGTGTTAATGCTTGTTTTTAGACCACCAAAAAGAAATTTTTTGAGAGGAGTCAAAGAGGCCATTTACATCAAATATCCCTAACCAAGGGGGAGGACTTAGATTTCTCTTGTCCTTTGCATAAAGCACATCACTAAAATTCCAAAACATTCCAAAGAAATGTCAGGGAAACTGAAACCTCTGGTTATGTGATTAGTATCCAAACCTTGAGAGACTGTCAGCAACATTACAAGGGATAAGCAGCACAGTAATTTGCATGTAAACTTAACCCAGCAGCTTAGAACATGGCTATTTCTTCTTGGCTATTGCTTGAACTGGTCAAAATAAAAATAAAAATTTCATCAGAAAGGTTGTTTTCCATTATTTCTACATGGAAGCCAAAATACAGTCATAACAATAAACATATATACAACCCAATAAAACTTTTCTACAGACAATTTTTTTCATATCTTAGTTTTGCTTGAGAAAGCATCCGTTTCATCCTAATTTAGTCTAAAACAGCATCCTTATAGCCTATAAGCACTGGAGAAAACAAGTTTATTTTAATTTTCTACCTTAAATAAGATTAACTTTATTACTCATCACATTTCCTGAGATGCAGATGTGTCTGACAATCTGGCAACAGTTCATACATAAGACACAGAATTGAAAGGTGCCTTTATTATTTATTGAATTTATACAGTAGAAGACAATTTGCTAAGCCCATAACAAGGTCTTATAGGAATTTTAAGTTACTCACCAGCTAATTCAATTAGCTTTAAGTGCTAATTGTATTAAAATTTAGGTATAAAAGCAGGGTGGGTTTGTGCAAAAGTATTCATTCCACCTTAAATGTTTCACATTTTGTTACATTGCAACAATAAACCTGAAATAATTCTATTACGATTTCGTGTCATACACAAATGCTATTTACAAATGGAAACCTGAAAGCAGTCACATGCCTTTGTTCATAGCCCTGTTAATGTTTTTTTTTTCTCAAATAAGATAAAAACATCTGTGAACAAATAGTATAACAAGACCAAGGAAGACAAAGGGGAAAGATGAGGTGATACAGTCAGTGAGAAACTGTTGCACCCGAGACACAAAAAAGAGCCATCACACATCTGTCCCAGCTGCTCCTGGACTTATCAATTTTAAGTGCCCCAACAGGTCTAATAACTTCAATTCAGTTTATGTATATAAGGGCGATTCACAATATGACATCTCAAGGCGATTTACAGAGACAGCTCAATCAGATCATACAGTGAGATTTGTTCAAAGTTTTCTAAAGACAACCAGCTGATTGCATCAACATATAGACATGAAAGCAATCCCTCACACAAAGCATGCTTGTAGCAACAGTGGAGAGAAAAAAAAAATTCCCTTTGAACAGGAAGAAACCTCCAGCAGAACCAGGCTCAGTGTGAGTGGCCATCCGCCGAGGCCGACTGGGGTTCAAGGAGTCAGAAGCAGACATACAGAAAGAAGCAAACTGGCAGTTTTTTTTACTCTGCCAGACAATAAAATTTTATTAATAGCCAGTTTTAAAGTATTTTATATGTCTTAGGTACATATAAGCTTTTTCTTTACTGTAGCACTGAATTTAACATCCCACATAATATCCACAATTGCCTAGTTACCTTGAATGTTTAACCTAAGATGACCATTAAAAAACCAAATGTGACTATCAGAAGGGATATTTACATCTGATGGTTTACAATTACATTTTGTAGTTTGACTAGCGGTGCAGAATTTACCCCCCACCTTGGTTTATCCTGATAAATGTGGAGGTTTTGTGCAATTATGGATTTGACCAAAATACATGCAAAGACTTTAAAGTCCCTTTTTCAGCACAATCTTACCATATTCTGATTTTAAGAGGATATGATAAAACCCATAACAAATGGCTAAGCTCTACAAGATTATGGATTTGTCATAAACATTATTAACTAAAACATACAAATTTTACACTCAGTTTTCAGAGTCTGCAAATAAAGAAAATACTATGTGTCTAAAAAAGTGCAGCAACTTAGAATTATGAGATAAGTGCTTTGGTTCCATCATGAGCTCAAAGGTCCACATACCATCATTATCTGTTTTATGTGGATGTTGCAATAGTGTCCTTAATCTGATAAAACAGCTTATCTGCGTTTAAAGCTATCAAGATGTTTTCACAATTGTTTGAATTTTCAAGGCATCCATAAAACCATGATGAGCCAATTCTAACTGATCTTTATTTCTAAGGAGTCCATAAACAATGATTTTTTTTTCTGCATAACAACACAGCAAACTGGTAATGATAAACGTACAAAAACGTGATCAAGTATAATATGTGGTTTTAACATGGGTCATGAACAGAACATTTCCAAATACCAAACTTTTTTGAGGGGAACTAAAGCATGTAGTGAATCTTTCAAAGAAAGTATCATGGTAGAAAAAATAAAATAAAAACAATCATAATATGTATTTTAAGGCATTAGCATCATTATACAATATCTGACAAATACTCCACAGAAAGCAAATAAACCTACTTTTGCAAACTCAAATTGTATTTTATTGATACATTGGGAAATTTCTCTTTAAACAAAAACAAAATAACAAGAAAATCTGCTCATAATTAGAAATTAAATAAACTTATAACATAAGCATAGTAATAGATAGTGCAATCTCAGTTCATTCCAGAGTAAATCAATACATAACTCAATGAATAGTTCTTTCAGTGGATTGTACAAGTCTTTGGTCAAAGTAAAGCAGCGTAACATTATGTAATTTATAAGTAATGCTCTCACATTTTTTTTTTATTTAAAATTAGTTCACAGCAGCAATGTCATCTGTTTGATCAAACTCCTCCAAAAACAAAAGATCATAAACCTTTCTTTTTTAAATTGAACTACAAGTTCATCCAAGAGCCCATTTAAAACACCTCAATTCAACTGACTCGACCAACAGAAATGCAATTATTTATTTTTTCAATCTTCAAGTCAACCCAGTAATGTTCATGTAAAATTATTTTTGCATCATTTGTAAACTCAGGATATAATAAAGCATTCAGCTAAATAGCTGCTTAGAGTTCATGAACAGAGCTGTGTGGATCAGGAAGCTTCTTAATGTCACAGTTTTGAATCAGATTAAAATAAAACACAATGAGCTCCTCATAGTTCTTTTTGGAAATTCTTTCGTTTATCCCATGAAACCTGAAAAGTAAAGATAAGAGAAAACAGGTTTGTTAATTAGAAAATTCCTTGTTATAAGATCCACTGTCTATTATTTCTGTATAAATGCTTTGTGTCATTAAAACTGAAGAAGTAAAGGAAAAAATATCCGTACAGTGTTTGATCAGTAAGGATCTAAACCCCCCTCACATTTATAAATAATGTTTTTAATATAAAAAAAATGAGTTTATGCCAAAGGTTCCTTTTTGTTCTAAGGATCGGATCATTTTAAGTTCTTACCTTTGAACGTCACCTGGTTTAAACCAAACTGGAGCAAAGCGATAAATATCACTGCTCAGGTCTTTGAAATGTCGACTGTCTGTGTTTCCAACACAAATACCTGAAAATCAAACAGTTAGTTTAGATATAAGTGCCTTTACTATGAAACTACATTGATCTGAGATTTACCTGGAGCAACTGTAAGTTTGGGAAACATGTCCAAAACTGTTTTCTTTATGATCTGAAAGCCAAAGGATTGCTCATCAGAAGAGCTAATGGGGAGTGGGTCAAATCCATCAATAAGCTCTACTTTCACTCGTTGGTCCCCAACTGTATCCTGGATAAAGTCTAAGACCTGGAAAAGGCAGAACACAGTCTGTTCAACAGATCTTTACATACATAAGAAAGAACAGCAACATTTCTCTCCTTACCTCTTGTAGTGAATGTGCAGAGTGGATTCGTAGATTTACAGTAGCCTCTGCTAGCGAAGGAATGATGTTGGACTAAAAGAACCCAGAATATTTTCATTTGAGATTGAAAAAAAAAAAGTGAATTAATCAATTTAAAAAGAAGTTGCATACCTTAGTTCCTGCATTAAACATTGTCACGGCTGTGGTAGTCCTTACAAAAGCATTAGTGTCTGGCTTCATTTCCAGTACTCTGCAATACAAAGCACATCAATAAAAGAGCAGAAGCAGCAGACTGCCACCTGATCCACTTTACACCACAGCTTAAATATTGTTATTACCTGCCAAGGAGTGGGGAAAAGAGCCATAAGTTTGACATTATGAACTTCAGAGGAAGACCAAACTGAGAGAGAAAAATTAGAAATGGTTAAGAATGTGGAGACATCAGAAAACCTTGAGTTAGCAAGCATTGATTCCTCTTGCCTTGTGGGCCAGATGTTCAAAGGTATCACGTTCTGGACCATAACCAAATAACCTCGGCATAGGGTTGTCTTCAAGTCTGCAGAAATTATAAAACCAAAATTTAAACTATATAAATAGTTTCATACCAGAGAAACCTCTAAAATGATCAAAGAATTTTCCAAAGCAATAAAAAGCTGAAGAATAAGATGTCACACCTTTTGACAGCTGCAGCTAAGATCCCAATGCTGGACTCCCTGGGAGGCATCGAGGAGTGACCAGGTGCCATAGACACACTAAGCTTCACATTGGCTGAGCCCTTTTCACTTACCCCAATTCTGTTTAAATAAAAACACTGATGGTGAGCAGTTGATATACACTCATCAAACCTTCATAGGTCTGAAAAAAAATTAAATGATGGTAAAGAAGTTAGAGAAATTTGCTCTACACATATATGTGTGTGTGTGTGTGTGTGTGTAAGGGTTAGGACTTCTTCTTAATTTTGAGAAATCAATAAAAAAAAGTTTTGTTCCATTAAAAATGTTGCGTTTTCATACAAACAGAGGACGCCCAAGCCTGTTTTAATTTACAAAATCTATGTGCAAGAAAGAATGATTTCTCTTTCTGTTTTATTAAGCATAACGGGGTATCAGCGACCCGTTGGTTGGTTTCATGTCAAATCTCTCTCTGCCTTCCTCAGCTCAGCCCTCAGTTTCTACCCCTCCCCTCACTGTTTGGCAAAGTTAGCAAACTCTGTAACTGACCGGAGTCCAAGTCACATCATGTCTCATGTTCACAAAAAAATCATTACCGGGGCAGAGAGACTGAGCGTAGTGAAATAGTTAAATCTTTATTAAAAGGTATATGAATTCTCATTGGGTTTTGATCTGGGTTGGGAATGGCTAAAATGTTTCTATTTATTTATTTTGTTATATATTTGAACAAATTTGATATTTTACTTTCTTTATAATCTAGTTGACCATTTATTTTTATTGTTCTGCATTTTGTTTATATTTGTCATCTGGTCTAAATTATTCAGTTTTGTACTTTAAATCACTATCTTTTTTTGTACAGCACTTCAGTGAACTTTAATAGTCTTACAGTGCGTGAGTCTGTCTTCACCCATAAATAACAGTCTTTAAAATAGTATTTAAAAAAAACATTCATAGTAACGCACATATTTACCAAGATGAGTAGGTACATTTTCCCTACACCCAAAAGACAGAGATTAATTTGTCATTTTTTTACCATCGCCTCTATGAGGCTTAGCAAATGCGACCACCTTAGTATCATGCTCAAACTGAGTGTGGGGATTTCTCACAGAGCTACAGGTCCATCAAGTCCACTGATTACTCCATCAAGTACAGCCAGGCCTTCATCCAGGACAAATGACAGCTTCACACCACGATCCTTCATCAAACGTACAATGTTCATTGCCCCATTGAAACCACTGATCTGCAAATGACAAACCAAAGAGCCCAGCTGAATTTTTATTTTATTTTTTGTGAACAACAGCAGTTTAAAGGGCAGAAAAATACCTCTTCATCATGTCCCAAACCAATGTAAAATCCCCTACGTGGAGCATAGCCTCTAAGCAGCAGGTACTCCAATGCTTGAAGTATTCCCTGAGGAAACATAAAAATGAAAAACAACACAATGAACCTGGTCTGCAGATATATAAAAACTATGCAACTTAGTTCTAGAATATTCTAACAATACATCAGCACTTGTTCTCCTACCATTACAGCGCACTTATCATCTATGGTCCCTCTTGCATAGATGAAGCCATCCATCTCTTGGGCAGAAAAGGGAGGCGCCTCCCAGCCGTCTGACTCTCTGGCAGGTACTACATCAATGTGGGCCAGCAGCAGGTATGGCACCAAGTCAGGCTGAGATCCCTGCACCTGAAACAGGTGGCTGTAATCTGCCACCAGCTCATGATGAACCAGGCTTGAGGAGAAAACGGTGGGGAAGGCTGACAAAGAAAAAATATAACATGACAAACACAGTCTCACTATGTTACCTAAAAACAATCCATTTAAAAAAATTGTAAAATCTTAAAAAAGTTTAATTGTTGCATTATTTTGTTAAAAAAACATTAAACTGGTCTTGAAAACTAAAACGGTTTATCAGAAAATAAACATGATATCAAATAAGACCAATAAGCAAAGAATGTTTAATATAGAAACACCAGCTAACTAAAAGGTATAGCTAAATACAGTATGAAACTAATTGACAATATGAATATATTTAGGGTCGGGTCTCCTTTGCTTGAGTTTCTAGATCAATGCCATGTAGCAGAGAGATGATGAGCTTGTAGACCATCAAATTATGCTAAAAATTATCTCGAGAGTTTTCACTTACAATAAAATCAAAAAGTATTAGATGGGGTGAGATGAAGTGAGAGGAAAAAATAAATGAGGGTTCTAAAACACTGAGATTAATTCCTGAAAATTAATGAATAAATCATCTTTCAACTGTTTAATATTCTAGTCTATAATAACAAAGAACAAACTTTATAATTTGGTTCAGGACGGAAATGTTTCTATTAAAAAAGCAATTAGTTAGTCGAAACGATTGATAGTGGTCAAGTAGAATGTAACCCCAGTTTAATAGCTTTATTCATTAAGGAAATATAATCTGAATAAAGAATGAGCTAAAGTGTGTATGGAATGAAACAATGATCTGGCACCACATTGTGACCACTCCCATTATTATCCGATTATCTCTTCATTGTAATACCCATTGGGCGAATCTGCTTGAGGAAAAGTGAACATCATGCTTTAAAAGTTGTATGAAGAAGGAAAAACTGGAGAATAAGGATTTGCATTAGTTTGAGAAGGCAGAACTTTAACGATTTGCAGACTGGGTCAGAGCATCTGAAAAAGTGCAGCATTTGTGGTGGAGTTCCAGTTCTGGACAGGACATCATCTTTCCAAAGCGGTCAATTAACCGAACATTAAGGAGAGTCATAGAATGCCAAAACTCTTCTAAACATATGCTCTCATCCAACCAATCAGCAAACAAAGGGACCATGTTTGCTGAGGAGGAGTTGCTGCAAATTAAAGACCCTAAAGGAATTTAACTAGAATAATTGGAAAACCTTTTTCTTTTTTTCTTTTTTTTTTGGGGGGGGGGGGGATTAACTTGAAGATGAGTCTTAACCTGAGAGTAAAGCTGCAATTAATTAATCTGTTGATTATTTTTTTCAATTAATTGATCAATAATCGGAAAGCCAAAGTTTCCTTAAAGGGATAGTTTGGGATTTTTGACATGAATCTGTATGGCATCCCCATCACCAGTGTCATGCAATCACACTGACTTACCCCTGGCAGCGTCCTGTGAGCAGAGTTCTCGTCCAGCTTTGGTCAAGCCGAAAGTAGTCCGGCAGGTTTGCTAGACCCAGCGAAATAAAACGTTTCTCTTCCCAAAACATTATGTGTTCAAAAGAGTGATATTTTTGCATCCCAAAAACATTGTAGTGGAAAAAGTCACACGTCGTTATCACTTGGTCCTATAATTTTGGAATTATAGCTTGATTTCAGAATGTAAACTGAACAAATCACATAAGCTGAATATATATATTTTGGGGTTAATTATAAAGTAGAAAGCCAAATTAAACCATACACTTTTAAAATGTTGCTATTAGCTTTATTATCAGGATGAAGCCAAGCAGACAGTTTTAATATTTCCCTTCTGTACAAATATATCCACTGACTTATATTTGAAATGATTATACGACATTAAGTTCTGAGCAAATCGATGAAGCTAATGATTATCAGTTAGCTCTTGCTAGCAGCTAACAATAAGGTTAGCAGCAATGTAGGTGTATCAGTTACACGCTCGTTTACTAGCATGTATAGGAATGTACCATCCTGGTTTCTTTGAGGAAACCTTTAGAAAAAGAGGGTAAAGGCGTGATGTTTGAGGGGGACACCTGTTGTCGTACCTTTGCGGAGGAAGGTGACAAACTGACGCAGAGCTGTGGTGTTGCTCTCCTTCTCAGAGAATGACACTGTGGGGATCCTCAGCGCCTCTGAACGACAAAACAAACACACCATGATCTAGCAACACCCCACACCTGTTTCTGTGGACTAGACCAATCTTCAAAGCTTAACGGACCCACACTACCTTTAAATTTGGCTAGAAGCTCCTCTCTCTGATGTTGATCAATCACCAGGGAGATATTGTTCGACTTTTCCCAGCGTGCGAGTTGAAGTCCGACATTTACGTCCAGAGACAGAGTCCGGATTGTTGCCGAAGTGAATAACAGCAATACTGTGATAAAGAAAGTGAAAACAATTATCTTTAAAAACTTCCACGCTTGGATCTTTGAGTCTGCCATTGTTGTGTCCGTTGTGACAGCAGAAGTTGCAGAGTGAAGTCAGCACAGATGACACCCTGCAGTGTGAAGAAGAGACACCTACTGGCGAACAGCTTTAGCTCCATTTTGTGTGTGTCAATTTAAATTCAGCCATAAAAGTTTTAGGCATTTTGTTATTTGCTGTATAGAATTTAAATATTTTGTTTATGCATGGATTGCTACGGAAGGAGATTAGGGCCGCTGAAAAAAATGTAAAAAGTTAACCAATCTTTACATGTTATTTCAGTATTATATGAGAAAAAAGTTTAAATTCTGACTAATATAGAATTCTGACTTTAATCTCAGAATTCTGACTTTTTTCTCACAGTTCTGACTTTAATCTCAGAAATCTAACTTTTTCCTCACAATTCTGACTTTGATCTAAGAAGTTTGACTTTTTTCTCACAGTTCTGACTTTAATCTTTTTTCTCAGAATTGTGACTTTTATCTCAGAATTCTGACTTTTTTTCCTCAAAATTCTGACTTTTTTCTCACAATTCTGACTTTTTTTTCTCAGAATTCTAAATGAATTCTGCAGCTAACAAACATGTCAGCATCAAGCCGTAGCCATGTCTGTTTTAGAGACTAAACTAGCTCTCTTGTTTTAATCACCTTCTTATCTTCCATTAATAAAATATCATCACCGGGGACCCCTCAGGCACGTAAAAAGTCACCTGATTCCCTCATTTTCCACCAATGTGTGTCACTGGCCCTCTCAAACAACTCACATATTTTGTCAGTGAAGCTGAGTGCTCCCACATCTCTTCCTTCATTGTGCCCATCTACATTAAGATAAGAAATTCTGAGATTAAATTCAGAATTCTGAGATTAAAGTCAGAATGACCTTTTCCCCATATTAAACTGAAATATTTTAAAATCAGTTAACTTTTTTTTTCAGTGGCTCTACTTCTATCTTCTGTAGATTTCTCAGGAGAGCAATGGGTAACACTGCTTGCTGCCTTGCATCAAGAAGGTCCTGGGATTGATTCCTGCTCTGGGGTCTTTCTGCATGGAGTTTGCATGTTCTCCCTGAGCATGTGTGGGTTCTCTCTGGGTACTCCGACTTCCTCCAACAGTCCAAAAAAATGTTAGGTTAATTTACTTCTCTAAATTCTCCTTAGATGTGAGTGTGTGAATGGTTGTCTGTCTATGTGTTGCCCTGCGATAGACTGGTGACCTGTTCAGGGTGTACCCGCCTCTTGCCTGTAGACAGCTGGAGATAGGCTCCAGTAACCCCAGCTGGGATAAGCGTAACAGAAAATGAATGGATATTTCACATACTATTATGCCTCCCAATGACCAATGATAAAAAAAATTCTAAAGCAAAAAATTTTTTATTGAATAGAATATATCAGTTTTCGATTCAGTTTATTTAAATGGCGACAATTCACAACACGTCATCTCAAGAAACTTTTAAGAGACAACTAAATTAGGTTAAGACTTTTTGATAAAAGTTTCCTAAGGATAACCAGCTGATTGCATTGAGACCATGATTTTGCGGCAGGTATTCACTTGCATTTTGTAGTTGACTGCAGCAATCCTTCACATCAAGCATGTATGCAGCGACAGCAGAAATGCAAAACTCCCTTTTAGAAGGAAGAAACATCCAGCAGAACCAGGCTGGATGTGAGCAGCCTTATGGCAAGGCCAACAGGAGCGTTAGAGGAGTTAGAAGCAGAAACACAAAAGGAACATATGCACTATAGAAAATGGGATGGTAAATTAACCCCATAGATGACTCTATCTAGGAGAGAAATCGATAAGCAGATGAGCTCTGAGCTGGCATTAATGTAAAATGGGTGAAAGAAAGCGTATATAGTTGCAGTATGAGCAGAACCCATAGCTGTGTCTATGAGAGAGCCAAGACTAAGCACTGCAAAAAGGCTCAACTGGGGGTTTGACCTGTGACTAAGACCAAGGTTTCTGACACTGAGCAACACATTTCTCTATAGAATCCCTTGATAGTCTATAGATTTGCTGGAACCCTGTAGAGATTCAGACACCTTGTGCCAGATGAATTATAGCATAAGAGAACCTCCTCCATGTTTCACAGAAGGGACAGTGTTCAGTGTTCTGTTGATAGGCTTAATTTCTCCCATCAACGAACATAGAGCTGATGTGCCTTGACAATAAGTTTCATTTTTGTCACATTTGACATTCTTGAAGAAGCTCTTCGGCTTGTCAGCATGTAGCTTTGCAAATTCCAGTCTGACCTTTTCATGATTTGTTTTCAAGATTTATATCCTCCTTGGTAATCTCCCATTACTTTGCTAAAACAATGAGGAATAGTGTGATCTGTCAATCGATGTTCCTTGAGCTTGAAGTTCACCTTATAATCTCTTCAGAAGTTTCTCTGGGGTCTTTTGCTGCTTCATTTTATCTGATATTTTTCATAAATTTAACTGTTGATTTTCAGTTTGATTTGCATAGTCAAAATTAAATACATATATAGCAGCATGAAGAAACAAATGTCAACATGTATAGATGTAGGGCACAAAGAATCAGTGAAATGTTTAATTGCATTTTTAAATACATATTTATCTCCCCTCCATAGGTATTTGCATACGTTTACAAAAAAGGAGCTAAATGACATATAGACAGTGAATCAAAAGGGGTTGGGGGGCTTCAAATGTATAACATGCATAGTGCGCTCAACTTTTCTATGAATCCACTTTATTGCCCTTGACCTCATCAGTTATACATACAAATAATACATTTTGCAGAAATGCACAAAAAGGAAATACTACTTAAGAGTGAAGTTCCAAAACATTTGTTGATTTTATGATTAAAAATATTTCTCTTCATTTTAATTTCTTAAAATCAGATAAAAACATTAAGCAGAACAGTCTTTATTTAAACATCAAATATAAAAACATACAAGTATTACAATACAAATTCAAGGCATAAAGAATTACATCAAAGTTTGCAATTTAAATAACATTTTTCAAATAGGACTAAACGTACCTTTTTTCAAACAGTGTTGCCAATTAGCTAAATGGTCAATATTAGGGTCAAACAAGATAAAATACAAAAAGAGTTGCAGTGGACTGGCAGATTCTTAATACCAACAGACATGTCTTGGCCTGCTCACATATATGTGTCAACAAACATTGGTGAATGAAACAGTTAAAGATCTAGAGAGACAAACCGTTTGCTCCATGTCTCAACCAGAAGGTGAAATTCCTCTTTTCTACCAGAAGACAGGTTTAAACACTCCAGCAAGGCCAAAAAAAAGCCATGCTGTCCTAAACATTAATAGAAATGAAGTAAAGGATATACAAAACAATAAAGAAGACCAAAATCTGGACAGAGATGGGTACAAGACGTCTCTCCACCTCTCGTCTTTCCAAGGTTGTAGGACTGACCGGCGTGTCGGGGTATCCATACAGGATGGGCCGCTGTGCCGCACCCTTGATGGGTCTTCGTGGAGTGACACTGAAATATACAAAAACATTAGCAAACAATCCAAAAATATAACTCAAATGCATTGCAGCTAAAGAGGGATTTTGGAGATAGTTAACATTCTAGCAAGACCAGGATGTGCTCCCTTGTACAATAAGGAACTGGATGAGCGCTGTAAGAGCTCTACAAGAATCCCTAAAGTTGGCCATTGTTGTCAAATCCCAGATCAAGCCTTTAGAAAATGGGTTATGAACAATTTTAAAGATTCTCCAACTCTGACAGTTTTAAATTTAGGTTGCGACACTTACTAGATCCCAGTGGGTGTGGTCTTTGCTTCTGGGATGAGGTCCTTTAAAATATTTTTTACTGGTTCCTGAAGATGCTAGAAAAGAAGGGGGGGAAAATACTATTATTTTTGAAAGGACACACTTGCTTGTACTGTGTGTGCCAGAAAAGCCATTTCACCAGGATATTGAGGAAAAGAAAAGAGGAGTGAGTTAAGTTAGGGAAATCTCAAAGGGTGTTGAACCACCTAAACTGTCAAAGCCAAAGGGAGGGAAAGAAGTGCCTGAAAGTTTTAAACAAAACCCTTCGATGGCTGTGTTGTATCTAGGTCATCCACTGTAATATTAAGTAAAAATCCAATGCACTTAAAGACACCAAATCTACCAGATGTTTAAAGTTTTCCTTAGGTGCAATATTTTACTTTCAGGTAGGGGTTAAGGTTCCCCTCTGAACATAAAAACCCTAAACATAAAGTTGAACTTTAATTTCTAGCTGTGCTAAACTGGCAGAAATGCATCCCTAAAGTATCATAAAGCAGGGAAAGGGGATTCTTCAAAGTTCTGCTGAATATAAATTGGGTCAAACTTACTATGTCCTCAATTTTCTTATCCACAATCCTGCTCTACTTTAGGCTGATTTTAAAACTGAATCCCAAGAACATCTTTTGATCCATTCTACATTTTAACCCATATTTTAATGACATTTTTTTTTTATTTAGGAGCCTGAATTTTTTTGCCTTGTCTCATTACTTGCATAACAACCCCTAAGCATTATAAAAATATCTAAACTTTCTAATTTGTTAGAACTGATGGGGTTTTGAATAGCTTAAACAGCAGATCACATTAAAGACAGAAAATGTGCAACATTGAAAACATAAGTGATTTGAATTAAGTCAAAGGGGATGTATATGCCTTGATTTTTTTTACACCAGTAGAGTCTCTAGGAGTGTTGTTCAGTTTCTGTTCCATGCTTATATCCTTTTCTTCAACCTCCTTGTCCAGCTATAGAAAAGGAAATATAGGAACATGACTCACTAGACTTTTGTTGTCTCAATTTGACTCTTTAAGTGCTCTTCTGAAAACACTTCCACCAGCACCAAAGTGAAACTTGAAGTGTGACTGAGCAATCTGCTCACTACTGACCCTGTTGGAGTGTGACCAATGTTCCAGGTTACTGCTGTGGCTCAGCTCCTTGTCGGAGCAAGCAGAGGGTGAGATCCGACTCTCCACCTGTTTTTTTTGTTTTTTTTATGGTTTATGGGCATCCAGTGAGAGTGAATATTGATTAAATACATACATACATAATAAACGGTAAATATATAAAATCTTTTTTTTTTTTTTACAAGGTATAAAACAACTTCCCTTTTCGACCATTTGAGTGATGCTGAAAGCCTTTGGAGAAAATGATGAGCAACCATTTGACACCATTGACTGTGATCCAGAGGGAACCTGTAAGGCTTTATATTAGCATTTTACAATCAAGTATGGATTATTATGCCCTTATACTACTTCAAAATCAATGTTATTTACCATAAAATAAAAACAGAATGTTTGAAGAAATGTAAAAGTTGACACCAGCCTACCCCTGATCTTAATCCTGCATGGTTGGTTTTTAAGGATACTTTGTTAATTCCTGCTGGAATCTGTGAGCGATGAGCTTGAGTCCACTCTGATGATTTTAATGCACTCCCTAAATTCCTCTTGGAATGATAGGCAGTGTTTTCCTGAGGACAAGGCCGCTAGGACCATGCAAAGATTTAACAGCTATTAACATTGCTTAGCGCATGGGGTTTGACAGGATATTGTTCAAAAAAGAAAAAAGTTTAAATTACCAGCTTTGATGATAAGAAAAAGCACTGTGAATAAGGATAGTCACGCCTCTGCACATTTTTCTGTAAAGATACATTTATATTTTTTCAAACCATGTTCCCAAATTGCAAATTGAAGCAATTTGGGATATTTTGAGCCTTAGAAAAAGCTGTTTCAAGTATTGGGTGGGTAAAGGAAAAAGTAAACACATTGACCAGCAGTTTGTTGTTTCTCACCTCATTGCACTGTTTTTGGTTCAGCTCCAGTGCTTCATTAATTCTTTCTTTCTCTTCCTCTGAACCGGTGCAAGCAACAAAACAATAGGATAATTATTGTGTTAAATGAACCATAAATGTCTAGATCAAGTTAAATAATTCTGGTCCCACCTGATTCCTTCTCGTCTTCCAAGTCCCCATTTTCTTCACCTTCCTCATCACTGTCTGAGTACAGCACCGCAGTCTCTGCTTCATTTAATCCCTCGTTCCCATCAGATTGCAGTAGTTTCCTTAGCTTCTTTTCATATACGGCCCTTGTCGAGGCTGAGATTCAGGAATATGATTTGAAATAAATGAATTTCTCTGACTGCACTAAAACCACTAAACAGAATTAGCACTGACGTGAATATTTTGAGTGCAACGGATATTGTTAAAAGCAATCTCACCTACAATAGGCCCTGCTTTAACTCCATATTTAAGTAGCAAGTCCTTGAGATCCTTATCTGATAATGCTGTTGGGTCAGGAATCTTTGTATCAACTCGATCCCCACCCTTTAAAAGCATAAGAAAACAAAACAGATCTTTGAAGCAAAAAAAAAACGGCTAAAAAAAGCATGAAAAAGAAGTATTTTGAACCATTGTTGAGATCTTAAACAACAGTAATATGTATAGCTCTATAAAAATGACATATTTTAACAAAGGAAAATGTGGAAATGACAGGAAGAAGTAATGGTAACAAAATGAATACATCAGTGAGTAGTAATGCTCTCAACTATTAATGATATTAATATTTAGAAAAGCCAATATATTGATTTTTAAGGCATTATCATGTATCATTTGTGAACACAAAAGATGCAGATAAAAATCCAACCAAAAAAATTAAAGTGTGGGGTAGAGCCACCCTAATGGTCAAAGTCATTTAGCTACATATATTTTTCAAAGTTCATTGAACTTCAGTTAATCTTCTATTTTTCATATTCACTCAAAAATGTTAAATTTTTATTAAGATAAAATGCATTTCTTTTTTGTTATTTTACTTCAAGTGCACATCCCCAAGTACCAATGACCAAAGTGTAATAAAAAAAAAAAAAAATATATATATATATATATATATTATATATATATATATATATATATATATATATATATATATATATATATATATATATATATATATATATATATATATATAAATAAATAAACTGGGCTTCAAGAAAAGTTGTGTCACATGCAGACTTGTATTATAAAACAAATTAGTCAGTCTATTGTTCTGTATATTTCTAAAACACCTGACATAAATACACGTAACAAATTAAAAACTTCATAATCCTCTGAAGGTTGTGATTATCCTTTGTCCGGTCCAGCCTTTTCTTTTCACTTAATTTTCTGTTTAAATACTGGGATGTTGCCTTCTGAAAAGTAGCTGGCTTGCTTGGACTCGCAGTGAATCAAGGGATATCCAAGGCTATGTAGGATAATAAGGCGGACCCATCCTTCAAAATGGGCACCAAATAAAAGGCTGCATTTCTCGGCTGCATAACGAGGAGTCTTCCAATCCAAACACCCGCTATGACGTATTTGGCCAAATAATCTGGCCTTCGGAGGACACATCCCCTGAATTCAAACTCAGCAAGAGTCTGAATTGGAATCCACATACATCTTATTGAAACAAATTTCTTCTTTCTGCAGCTAATAAGGGGAACCAGGGGCCAATGGGGGCCAGTACCCCTGTGCTGAAGACATAATACTGAAAGAAATTCTAATGATGATATGCACTGGAACAGACATGGTTACTTATAAGTCCTTTGGATCAATTTCTTTTTTTTTTTTTTTACTAATTATTTAAAAGCAATAAGGTGATAGCTTCAGTGGTATTGAGATAGGATCCCAGTTTTCCTCTGCTAAATGTTTTTTTTTTTTTTTTATAAATAAAAAAAGAATAGTCAAATTTTTACAGCTCAATTTCTCAGCTCTTGAGTTCTAATTCAGATTTTATAGAAAACTTAATTTGTTTAACTTAACGTCAAAAATAGGTAAAATTCCTAAATTATGAATCTAAATTGACCTAATAAGACATAGAATTTTACTTAAACCTAAATTAATAGAAATCTCTTGAATCCCTTGCCCTGTTTTTTATTTCATGCTTTTCTGTGGCCCCCATTAAAACACTCTTGCCCCCTCATGGCCCCCTGGTACATTTGGTCTAGAACCTCCACTGAGGGGAACCCTTGTTGTTGGCAAGTAACCGAGAGTGACAGGTGCTGATGTCTGTGGAGACATGGGCTAAGTACAGAGACGCATGTAAATCTATGCCATGTCTTTACAGCTAGAGAAAATGGAAGTCTGGAACCCCTCCCTCACAATACTCTAGTCTGTCCTTGCCGACAGTAGTTTTATAGACCATTATGTTTGTGTTGTTTAATTTTCCCTTTTTTATTGTGCAAACTTGTGAAAAATAATCCATAAATTATTGTAAAAAATAATCTCTAAATGTATCGACTCACTGGCGCATAAAGCACTTGATCCTCTTCATCGCTGGAGAAGCCCGCAGCGTTTCCCTGATCCACGTGTTCCAGGTGCAGCTTCAGGTAAACCTCTTTCTTGCTCCCTGCAGGCGGCAGCTCCACATTGTGGCTGACTAAATCTGACCTCAGACGAGACTTGGACAGATGAGCAGTGTCCTCTACACGCGACATTTCACAGGAGCAACGAGAGGAATAAAGAACTAAACGTTTTGTTTGTCTTAGTTTAATCTTTGAAGCTGTAGGTGCACAGGCTGCCCGGTCTGAGAGCCTGATTCACGGATCGGGAACAGCTGCGGCTTGGGGCTTGATTGACAGCAAGCAGACTTATAGGCATATGGGCAAAGGAGGCAGCGGCTATAATTGTTCATTTAGGCGTACACGAAACAAAACAGAAAAAAAACAATAATGCATGGCAAAAAAACAACTTAAAATTGAAATTATGAATACACCAGGCGCTGAGCTAGATGGAGGGCCAGGGGTGGCCATGGCCACCCTTAGACAATCATTGGCCACCCCTACCAATTTTTTTCTCTTAATTAGAATATTCAAAACAGTTTAATTTTATATACATTAACAATTACTTGACAACAAAGGCTACGTTCAAACTGCAGGCCTTGATGCTCAATTTGGATTTTTTTTTTTGTGAAATCCGATTATTTTTGCATTGCCGTTTATATTTTCAAATGAATGCGACTTGTATGTGATCTCCTGTGTGAACTGCAGTCATACAACGCAAGTGTCCCGCATGCGCAGTAGAGAACGCAATGATGTCACAGGCCAGCGTGCTCTTTTTTTCTGTTAGTAAACATGGATGGTAGTGCCGGTGCGCATCTAGTGGTCTTTTCCAACCATAAAAACACAGTCTTTTCAATAAGGTTAAACATTAATACTGCTGTCCGCATCATCGTCTGCCATGCTTGTTGTTTTTCTTGCTGCTTCTGCATAGCAAGACGCATAATAGTGACATTTGTTGGGTATTAATGACGTTCAGACACGGGTCGCATTTGAAAAGATCAGATTCGTATTGGATTCAGGACCACTTAGCCAAGTGGCCTGGGTTGCATTGGAAAAAAAATCGGATCTGTGTTGTTCAGACTGCCATGAACAGATCAGATCCAGGTTGCATATGGGCAAAAAAATCGGATTTGGTCACTTCAGGCTGCAGTGTGAACGTAGCCAAAAACACTGTGGTTAATTATACACATCAATGTACCAACATTAGAGATGATTAGTACAGAATTCATCCTCTTTCAGAACTAGATTTTGTGTTATATGCCGTAAAGAGAAAATGATGTTTCTCTGCAAGTCATCTAAGAGGCTTCAGTGAAATCATAGATACTGTGAATAACTCTTTTATTAAAAACCTATTAAATTCATAATTTAATAGGTTTTTAACCTATTAAATAACATGTTATTAGAAGACAGATAAAATGGTTATGAAGTGCTGCACCTTCACTCCCCTTCTAGGTCACTCAGATCTACCAAACAGCTGTTTATGGAGTTGTCAAGGACACAGTGATACTCAGAGGGACAAGGCATTGCAGCTGGCAAATTACAGAACAGTTTGCATAAAATAACCATCTTAGATATGGTCTGAAGGCCCTCCATTATGTTGTCTTTGGCTTTGGACCCAGTTTAAGTTGTGAATTTGATCTGGATTTTTTTTCATGTCTATGTCATATTTTCCTCCAGCTAATTTTATATTATTGTCAACTTAAGGCATTTTTTTCTACTTTTAATCAGTTTATATTCAATTTTTTTTTCATTTCATTCTCTATGTTCAGCATTTTGTTCAGTGCTTGCTTTTTTAAAATTTATTAATAAAGGTGGCTTGTCTGATAGAACCAGTAATGGGGGGAAAAAAATCTAAACAGCAAAAAAACTAAATCAAGTTTAAAACAAATGTTGGTTAGTAAACATCATCATATAACAATACACCAAACATCTGTCCTCTTCATCTTCCCAACCATTTTTTAAAGCAGTTGATGTCTTTTTGAAGGGAAACATAATGAGGAATAATTAACAATCAAAACAATAGGAGGACTTATTACACTGGAAAAACGATCTAGAAATAAGTTAATTTCTTAAATGAAGTGTACTTGATTTGAGCAGGTAAATGAGATAGTTTGCCAATGGAATGAAAATTTTTACTCTTAAAATAAGATAATTAGATATCATGCACATGAAATAAGACAATGCAATTCTTATTTTAAATGTAAATGGTCTTGTTCCGTTGGCAAAATGTCTCTTTTACATCCTCAATTCAAGAACAAATGCACTTATTTTAAGAAAAAATGACTTATCTAGATATTGATCTTTTCCAGTGTAGGATCTAAGCCGCTTAGTTGTTTGTCTGAAAAGAGGAAAAAATAATTGAATAATATTAATATTAATCTTTTTACTAAGATCTCTAAACCACCACCCTGAATTCAGTAGTTGAGTTGTAATTCAAGAGATGCAGCAGGTCTCCTAACATCCTGTGAGTCATTCCTTTTCCTGAGATGCATCTGTAATCTATGGTTGGTTTTATTTACTAATGGAAATTCCCCCTCTCAAATACGAATACTATCATGAAATATAACAGAGTTCTCTGTACTCAGGCAAAGGCAGATACCCCAAAATTTAAAAGACATGCTGTGGTAGTGGAGCTGCAATTTGGAATTCCTCAAACTGTGTTACAATCGAAGAAACATCATTATTAATACCTTGAGCTTCCGGGTTGGACCAAGGCCTTCCTTATTCTTTCAATCGCATTTATTTCTGATATGTGCTGATCCATTTTTACCGAAGCTGTATCTCTGTCCTGATTACATGAACAGCGTGAGCTGGGTCCTTTATTTCAATGCAAAAAGATGAAAAACAGAACATAGAAGTTGTGTGAAATTATCTGAAAAGTGAGCTGTAATATAATGAACCACATAATGTCAATTTCTTCACCATAAGCGCAAAAGCAGGCAATTAACTAAACAAATCATTGTAAAAATCAGCAATCAAGATGCAGCGTGTGTTTTGGAGCGGGTCTCTGCTACCTGTTAGTTGTTTATTGACAGCTAAATAAGGAAAAGTAGCTGTTAGGCTGTAATTAAAATGGAAATGTGAGTGGTGCATAAACAAAGTGTTTCTGCTCAAACAAAATAGACAGAACCAAATTAAACACTATCTGGCAGCAGTCTTGTTATATTAAAAAAAAGAAATTAATCTAGAACATAGTTAATAGAACTTTCTTGAAAAATTCAGACGAAACAGAAAATATAGTGAAACAGAATAGCTCTCTTGATTTGTTGCTTGATTTACTCCCCCACTTAAAGCTATGTTTAAACCCAAATTGTTTTTTAATTTAATTTGCTGTATTATTAAAGGCTGCTTTGAAATACATGTGAAGATTTTGTTAAATTTCTTGTGGAGGTCACTGCTTATGAGCTATATCCAATATCGGCTGTACATACAGAGGCAATTCATTAAGTTAAAATGTTAATTAAAATGCAGTTAAAAACGACTAAAACTCATATGATATGGATGCTTTAAATACAGTGAATTTTTTAAGCTTTTGGTTGCATTTGATAGGACTTATAGGCATTGTAAATGTATATTATCCGGAACTCAGAATATTATCCGAATTATGCATAACTTCACATTCCACCTCAGATGCTACAATTGCATCAGCATTACTACTCTAAAGGAACAGGCAGGTTATATTGTGCTGTATTTAAAAATGGTAAAGAAAAGTTGAGTGGATAGAAAACATTTAGTGGTAAAAAGTGCACAAGTAAGAAGGATAACCACAGCCTAAAGAGATCTCTGAATGAAAAAAGCAAGAATGCCAAGGATATTTATCTATAATGTATTATTCTAATGTATTGAGATGCTCCTAACTTAGATTTTACATTTTTGTTTCCCCTTTATCAATATCTTTAAATGTTGTTGCTGAATTAATGAGTTGGCACAAATATACGTACATATAGAGTGTTTTTTAAAGTTAGTCCATTGGTTTCATTTTTCCTAAAACAGCAATTAATCAGTCAATCCACTGTATCTGTGCATTACAATGTAAAGAATAAAATTAGAAGCTTCTGTCTGTTCAAAATAATATGGACCTGTTTTTAAACATGTATAATCTGAGACTGAGAACTAACAGTAATCTCTGTTTTCAGAGTTCACAGTAATCCCTTTAGGCTAATATTATACAGTGGATTAAAGGAAAAATCTTAACACTTAATCAATAGTAGTCTTGTTGAAAAACGTTCAATTTACAGTTTTTTGCATTTAAATCCTTAATGTGACATAAATGTATTTACTGTATACGTTTACAATGGCTGTTTTCTATTGGTGTTACATTAAACAAATTACTAGATCATTAAAATGTATTATGATAATATAGATTTAAGACTTAATCCCTGTCAAAATATAAATGATAAGGAAAATTATCAATCAACTGGATAACAGCTGGCCAGTTTCTTTCTTTTCAGTCTCTTTACTCTCAGCAAATCTTACTAAACTGTTGATATGGATTGTAGATCTCCTTGGTGGTGTGCATAAGATGTAGCCCTGGATTTCACATATAATTTAACCTAAATGGTTGTTTAACATATTGGATTAATGGTTTGGAGATAACACAGGTTTGCTTAAGTATTGCAAACTGAACCAAAGATGAACATGTTGAGACAATCTTTGCTACAGATACTGGCAAACAAAATGCAAACACTTTACAGAGAGCTCTTAAGAAGATGTTAAACATCAAACGTCCTCAGCCCTTAAGCCCGGTCCAAGTTTATTCTGAACAAATAAGTTAGGTTTGGATATCCCCTTTGACTATCCCCAACCACTATTTATTCATATTTCGATCGAAACAGACATCTTTTTTTAAATGTACTTTAAAGTTTCCATACAGACAATTTTTCCAAAATGCTGGGTTTTTTCTAGTGTCTAATCAACATAGCATTTCCTGTGTGTTTGGGAGTATTATAAGTTCATTATTGGCTAAATTTAGACCTGATAAACATCAGCTGTGGCAAACATTTGATAAAATGTGTAATAAATAGCTTTTCATACATTCCCTCTACCCATTTTATCATTTTATGGTCAAAGGGGCTTTTTCACATCTCCAGTGGAGATGAGTAAGAGCCAGGGTTAGTCCTGTCAAAGCACAGGGCACAAAAGACGATATTAACACTCACTCAAAAAGCCTATTTATATGCATGGTAACTGAACATGCATGTTTTAGTCCAGGGAAATGATGCAAATTCGATACAGCAGAGTCCTTGCTGGGATTTCAATCCAGGACTTTCTTTTAGTAGTTTAAACAGAACCATAATCGTGCATTATTAAAAAATCCCAACATCTAAACGGCTCTCATTAAACATCTATTAACTGAGTTAATGATTGGTTCTTGAAGCATTAGATAAATATTTATTGATAGTTATTTCGCTCCTCGAATGACCACGAGATTAACTAAAAGAAAAGAAATGGATATTTTCACACATAGTTTGACTTAAAAAAGTATGTTACTATACTGTATCAGGTTTTTACAAAAGAGAGAAGTTATACAAGTTTTTTTCCTTTAAAACCTTTTTATTCAATGTTTTTTTTTATCTTCTTTTTAATCCAGCCTATTATAGTGATATTACACGTTTAGTTCATTTATGCACCAACAGGACCTTGGAAATGAGCCTCCCAAAAATATTCACCACTCTTTAATCTTTACGCAAAATTTCGAGACATTACAGTAAAATAAGAAATATTATATATGGGATTTATTTGTGCTAAACCAGGAAAAGTAGACATAAAAAAGATTTCCTTCATTTTACCAATGAAATTCTGTTCATTATATTTGTCTTTGGGCCATCCTTACTCTGCCACCTTTAAATAAAATCTACTCCTTCCACAACTGCCTTTCAAAATCACCTGTTGAGGTATTGAAGCTGGCCTAGTTTAATCTTATAAGAATTGTGGTACAGTTTTATCAGTAAAGCATTTTCAAGGCCATTTGTTTTTTATCTTTAATCACACTCTTTTTTGTGTGTTAATGTAAACATAGTTAGTTTGTAAAGAAAAAACTCACATAGGCATAGATACATTATAAACCCCTGACAGAGTCTTGTATCATCAGCAGCAACATGTGGTGCCATTATGTTCTGGGGATAATGATACGACACAAACTTTAATTAACCTAGGTGAAACTAGACATTGTCATTTCCTCAGGCACTGGTGTGGAAACGCTCTAATTTGGTCACAGTGGACTACCAGGCAATCAACAGGGCAGGCTGGGGAAGGAAGGAATTTATTTTTTTAAAAGCCAAATGAAAACAATTCTACTCTCAATTCATCAAACACATCTTTACAGAATCATTTCCACAACAGAAATATTTTTTGCACACCCTCTGCATACATGTTCTACAAATTTTATTGTTTACTGGTCTAAACAGTAAATAACAAAAGGCAATCTATTAAAAGGAAGACCACTTCATAGATAAACCTAAAAATCCTCAATAGACATTTATTTTAATATGCCATCTGTTGCTAATGGAGATTCACATTAAAGGCACATCTAAAACCAATTAATTTCTTGGATTCTTAAGAGCTGCTCAGTTGATAGTCCACTGTGCATCCAATGGCTTTAAACCCTACATGATATGTCAGAAAGAACTCACATAGGAATAGAAAGCCATAAGTCGCATGTGTGGTTTAATATTGAAGGTGATGGTACAAAATTGTGCACTCAGATGCATTCGGAGTATTCATGCATTTCAGATGAAAAAGTTGCAAAAAAGCAGCACAGCATTCAGCATTTACATGAATAATTAACCAAAGAGACTCAAATAGTTCATCTAAAGCCCAGGGGAGTAAACTGAAACTGTCTTCTGAGCTTATAAACATTAAAAAATTTATTTTTCACAAAACAGACTCACATTAACTTACCTTTTTTTTTATAAGTCACCAAATCTTACAACAACATTTGCTAAAACTGTGCAGTTCTAGGGGAAGGGGACTTGTGGAATAAGCTTTGATTTAACATGTAGTTTTGAATCTATCTCAGAAGAGAAAATGTGAAGCGCAAATCAAGGGGTTTCATTTAAAAGACATTACATAAACACTTTCTATACTCTTTCTCAAGAAAGAAATAAAACGATAAATCCTGAACTACAGTTAAACTGCTCAAAAGAAAATGCTTACTAGTTTTGAATGTAAAAAATATATTCCAAAATTAGGTTTCAATGCACTTTAGAAAGTGCAATAATTCCAGCAAAATAAGATAAATTGATTCCCATGGATGTGGATTATATACTTTTTAAAATTGCATCTAGTTAAAATCCTAATAATTTTAATTTGTAATTATTCTTTCTATGCAATTAAATTAAAAGGCAGTTACCCTAATGTTCAGCATTGCTAACTATTGAAAGTGCTTTGGGCCACTTTAAGCTGCTCATGATAGCAGAGAGTCAGCACTCATGCTATGTAGGCCAACTCTGCACACCCAGATGTCTGCTCAGAAAACAGAAGCCTTTATAAAAACATGAAAAAATCCTCACAGACTGAGAGGAAACGGGCTAGCATGGAGGACAGAGGAGGCATTTGTTGACATTGTATCAAGTGCAAAGCCAAGGTATGTGGGGCTTAGCAAGGCCAGGTATTTGTCAGTCAGTGTTTCTTGGACTTTTGCTGTCTCAAACTCATACAACAAAAGCTCCTTTGAGAGTCTCCCTTTTTTTCCCTCCATGTTGAACAAGGACACAAAGCTTCCTAAACAATATGCAGTTACATTCCAGTTGTGAGATACAAACATCTTTGTATGCACCTGTTAACATTTAGCAAAGAAAACACTTTTTTTTTATATCAAAATA